GCCGTAGCGCCCCCTCCCCCCACCTCCCGGCCGGGCCCTCGCCGGGGCGGGCTGGCAGCCTCGGGCTCCCGCTCTCTCTTCCCGTCCTCCCCCCCACTCCTCCGCCCCGCTCCTCCCCGCCCCCACGGCGCCTGCTCCTTTCCCAGCCAGCCTTCCTCCCCTCCCCCACATCCGGTGTTCGCGAAACCGAGGGAGCCGGAGCCGCCCCAGGAGGCCGACCGAGCCCCCTCCGAACCCCGGAGAGAGCTGGCACTCGATTGCTTTCTTCGGGGCGACAGTGTGTCTAGTCGAGCGGACCCTCCGTGCCTCGATCAGACTGAGTGCCAGGGGCTGAATGCACCTACTCTCATTCCTCTCCAGGGTCCCACTACTGTACTTAGGACATTTTCTCAAACTTCACATTGGAAAGCCACCGACCTCCTTCCTACGCTCGTTCTGCGCTCGGTCCCCGCCCCAGTTACACTCCCACCCCCCACCCTCCGCATCGGAGTCTAGGGCAACCGGGACACTTCCGTTCTCCGTGTCGGATGGGTGAAACCGTAATGAAGAGCACCCCCTAGACTCCCATACTCGGCGCGGATTCCTATGGGGAAGGCAGTTATTGTTGACATCTTCCAGGCCTTGGTTCTGGACACTGAGAAGGAGGCAGTGGAACTAGTGATAGCGATGCTTTTAAGGGCAGATGTATGTAGGTATTGGGGGAAGGGGAGGAGTCAACCCAAAAGAAATGAAAGTGGTTTAAAGCTCATAGTTCAGTTTTTGCTGTTCATATAGAGTTCAGTTTGTGAGTTACTTATCTGCAGGTTGTAAAGCTTCTCCAGTCTAAAAATATCTGGATTAACACTTGGTACTCACAGTAAATTGGAAATGCAGCTTCTGACCTTGTTTTTAAATTTTATTCTCAAAGCTTTTTTTTTTTAACCAGTCACATTTTTAAAAATTGTCTTACTTTTAGTTAGAGCTGAAAGGGTTCAATTAGTATGTGCTGTGACCAGTATGTGGAGTCCGATTTAGCTTTCCAGAATTGACTTTTTGGGTTGCACTGACAAATCATAGTCCTGAATGATGAATGTTGAATGATGCACTATGTTTTTGTTTAAATGAAATTTCCTGAAAGTGATTAATTTTAGAACAAGGGTAAACCGATATTGCTCTTGTGAGGCATCATAAAAATACGTATTTTAAAAGCTGAAGGCATTTCAGGCAAATATGGTTCTCGCTGAAGCAGAAAAAACAGTGGACCTGGGATTTGGAAGACCTGGCTTCTAGCTGCTGCTAACCAATTCTGTGACTCTGGGGAAGGGACCTCAGTTCTTATTTCCGTAACATGAGGACACTGGACTATTTGAATTCAGAACTCAGAAAGTTGGAAGGGATCTTAAAGCCCTCTAAGGAAGAGTTTGAGAATGTTCTCCATTGCTATAACTTTTCCTCCAGAAATAACCTGGCTTGGGAGTTATTGGTCCAGTGGAAATTGATTCCCCATAGAAACCGGAGAAAAGGTAATGCAAGTAGAGAGAAACAACTGTATTTCTGCTTGAATAATAAACCTACTAACAAATTCTGGTACCAATTTTGGAGACATAAAGAGAATGAGTGTATGTACTTTAAGTGTACCAGTTTCCTCACTCACTCCTGGCAGAAGATGCAGCACTTTTAGTGGTGCTGGGATTCTGGGGTGTGTTCCTGTTAATTCTCATACAGAAGATGATGTGATAGAAGGAAAGATGGTTGCAGAAGGAATGGATAAAGAGGCAAAACTGCCCACTAAAAAGAAAAGAAAGAAGGGTTTGCGGATTAAGGGGAAAAGGCGTCGGAAAAAATTGATCCTTGCCAAAAAGTTTAGTAAGGATTTGGGGTCTGGGAGGCCTGTTGCAGATACCCCTGCTTTGCTAGCTTCCAGTGCCCCTGAGCAGGATGAAGAAAGTCTTTTTGAGAGCAATATAGAAAAACAGATCTATTTACCCAGTACCAGAGCCAAGACCTCCATTGTGTGGCACTTCTTTCATGTGGACCCCCAGTACACCTGGCGAGCTATTTGTAACCTCTGTGAAAAAAGCGTCAGCAGGGGCAAACCAGGTAGCCACCTTGGTACATCTACTCTTCAGCGTCATCTGCAGGCAAGGCATTCACCTCATTGGACCAGGGCCAACAAGTTTGGAGTCACTGGTGGGGAAGAGGACTTTACGTTGGATGTATCTTTATCTCCTTCTTCTCCTGGAAGCAATGGAAGTTTTGAATATATTTCTACAGATCCATTAGATGATAACAGAATGGGCAAGAAACGTGATAAATCAGCATCTGATGCCCTAAGGGCAGAAAGAGGGAGATTTCTCATCAAAAGTAATATTGTCAAGCATGCCTTAATTCCTGGAACCAGAGCCAAGACATCTGCAGTTTGGAATTTTTTTTACACTGATCCTCAGCACATCTCAAGAGCTGTGTGTAATATATGTAAAAGAAGTGTGAGCCGGGGTCGGCCAGGTTCCCACTTGGGAACTTCAACACTTCAACGACACCTGCAGGCCACACATCCCATCCATTGGGCTGTTGCCAACAAAGACAGTGGTGCCATTGGAAATGGATTAGATGAAGCTGAGCCTGAGAGAAATGATCTCTTGAGTGATACTTTGCATGGAGAAAAGTCTACAGGCAGCCAAGATTTAACAGCCGAGGACCTTAGTGACTCTGATTCAGATGAACCTCCTGTGTTAGAGGTTGAAAATAGATCTGAAAGTCCTATACCTGTTGTAGAGCAAGACACTCTGATGCACACACAGGAGAGAGAAACAACATACAGTGGAAATCCAGTTTCAAGTCAAATAAGTCAGGCAATTATTCAAATGATTGTGGAAGATATGCATCCTTACAACTACTTCTCAACCCCAGCCTTTCAGAGGTTCATGCAGATTGTGGCCCCTGACTACAGGCTGCCATCAGAGACTTTCTTTTTCACTAAGGCTGTACCTCAGTTATATGATTGTGTCAGAGAAAAAATTTTCTTAACGTTAGAGAATGTTCAAAGCCAAAAGATCCACTTGACTGTTGACATATGGACTCATGACCCATCCACTGACTATTTCATTGTCACTGTACACTGGGTCTCTTTGGAAACTGCACCTTTTCCCAGTAATGGCAGGATCCCCAATTTTAGAAAGTGGGCAGTGCTTTGTGTTACAGGTTTGGCCAAAGACTGTTTGATAACCAACATTTTACAAGAATTAAATGACCAGATTGGTCTGTGGCTTTCTCCTAATTTCCTTATCCCTAGCTTCATTGTTTCTGACAATTCCTCTAATGTGGTACATGCAATCAAAGATGGTGGTTTTACCCATGTGCCATGCTTTCTGCATTGCTTAAATATAGTCATTCAGGACTTTTTCTGTGAGCACAAAAGCATTGAGAATATGTTAGTGGCTGCTAGGAAAACCTGTCATCATTTTAGTCATTCTGTCAAGGCCCGTCAGATACTGCAAGAGTTCCAAAATGATCAGCAACTTCCGTGGAAGAATTTGAAGCAGGATGAAACTGGCCATTGGATTTCTACCTTTTATATGTTAAAATGGCTCTTGGAACATTGCTACTCAGTTCACCATAGTCTTGGTAGAGCCAGTGGAGTTGTGCTCACCTCCCTTCAGTGGACTCTAATGACTTATGTTTGTGATATTCTTGAGCCATTTGAGGAGGCCACCCAGAAAGTGAGTGTGAAGACTACAGGATTGAATCAGGTGCTACCCCTAATCCACCATCTACTCCTTTCCCTGCAGAAACTCAGGGAAGATTTTCAAGTCAGAGGTATTACCCAGGCCCTCATTCTGGTGGACAGTTTATCTCTGAAGCTTGAAACACATGCCCTACTAAGTGCCATGCTCAAATCCAAGCCATGTGTCTTGGCTACTTTGTTAGATCCTTGCTTTAAGAATAGTTTAGAAGACTTTTTTCCTCAAGGTGCTGATTTAGAAACTTATAAGCAGATCCTAGCAGAAGAGGTTTGTAATTATATGGACTCTTCACGAGAGGTCTGCCAAATTGCATCTTCAGAGGCTTCTGGTTCCTCAGTTACAGTAGGAGCTGATTCATTTACCTCATCTATAAAAGAAGGCACCTCCAATTCAGGTTTCATTGATAGCTCAGCTGCAGACAATGTTGCCATTGGAAGCAAAAGCTTCATGTTCCCTTCTGCTATAGCAGTTGTGGATGAGTACTTCAAAGAGAAGTATTCAGAACTCTCCGGAGGTGATGACCCTTTGATTTACTGGCAGACCAAGATGAGCACGTGGCCAGCTTTGACCCAGGTTGCCATTCAGTATCTAAGTTGCCCCATGTGTAGTTGGCAATCTGAATGTATCTTTACTAAAAATAGCCACTTTCATCCAAAACAGATCATGAGCCTGGACTTTGACAATATAGAACAGCTGATGTTTCTGAAAATGAACTTGAAAAATGTGAACTACGATTATTCTACATTGGTTCTGAGCTGGGATCCTGAGAATGAAGTTGTTCAAAGCAATGAAAAAGAAATGTTACCTTAATTTCTTTTTCTTTCCTCCATTTAAAATGGGCAACTTACTGCTATTACTATATCCTTATTGCTATAGTTATTATATGTAGCCATACTAATTCTTTAAACAAATCTGGGGAAACTTGAAATCACAAAAAGGGCTGAAAATTCCTCAGATGCAATATAGTGTTGGTAAAATGATTATAACTCAATGTTATAATCAGTGTAGCTAGCACTTGAAAATTGTGTTTATGGCAGTTGAGAGAGAAAATATATTTTTAATTTAAAAAAATATAGTGCAGCATTGAAAGGCCTTAGGCTATTTCTGCCTGGTAGATTGAACTAGTAATTGATTTTAAGTAAAATTTTCCCCAACATGGGAGATTTATTGCTCTGAAACCAATGAAATGAGAAGAAAGCAGCATACTAAGCTGGCGTTCCTTTTTCTCCCCATTTTTCTATTTTTTAAAAAACCCGATGCTTAATTACGATGGCAAACAAACAACAAAAACCCACGGCACTGTTTTATATTTGAAAATGTCTAATTGCCTCCTCATACTGGTCAGCTTTATAATTTTGAATTATTGAGTGTGATAGTTACTTTTTATTTAGGATTGGATCTTATGTAAAAGGGAAACATTAGAAAACAATTAGGAAAAATTAATTTAGGTCTTTGAATTGCCATTTTTAATCTTTATAAAATAACATAAAAATAAAATAAAGATTTTATAGGTACTTTTGCATCATTTATGGGTAAAAGCATACTACAAAGTTTACAAAAATGGAAAAAGATTGAATGGGAACTGTAATGAAAGCCCTTTGAACATACTTTGAAAAACCCAGTATGTATTTCCCAAAGAATGTTTCTCTAATTTTAGGTAATCTTTTAAAAAACATACTTAATGATCCATAATACCATATTCCTAATTAGCTATGAGGTTGTTTGGCCACTATATTCTTAATGAAAAATAAACAATCATTATTTTCATGTAGTAGGAATCGGTGAAATGAGTGAATTGATCCTCAATATCTTTAAGGTCCTTTCCACTCTGAAAATAGGTTTCTGTGATTGAGTGGGAGGCCAGAAAAATGATGACTTTTAGTAAAAGTCTATTAAAAGTTTCAGACTGAATAACTAATGTAAGATCCAATTTTTCCTTTTTTTCATTTTAGATTTGGGGATAATCCCTGCCCAAAAAATTCCTGGAAAATTGACTAGTATTAAGTGTGAGTAAAAGGTGTCCACTTTTTTTTAAGTTTTGATTTTAGTTTTGTCTTGGATAGTGTTTGGCAAGATTTAGCCTAGAAGTTATGTAGTATTTATTACGTACGAGAGAATCAAAATTGCTTGGTTACTGGGCTGGTTTCAAAATTTAGGACTCATTTCTATGTTTCAAAATAGTTATTTTTTTTTTTATTCTTAAATGGTAAGTGTACCATTGTGAAATGAAATTTCAGCTCCAAAAGTTTACCCTTTTACTAATTGGAGTAAATGGATAATTACAAAGTCTTTAGCTACAGCCATCAGTAGTAAAGAATTTGGAACTAGGCGGCGTAAGCAAGCCTTTCTAGGGCCAATATTGTATGGCATGCCAGTGACACTGGTGTTGATACAAAAGGAGAAATAAGTCTTCCCTTAGATAGAAACTTCTGTGTTTTGACAGTTTCATTTTAGAATGGCTATTATGCTGCTCTGCCTTCTACAGCTTGCTGCACCACTCTGTAGTTACTCTATAACTATCCGTTTCTTTTTTGGTTAAACACTCCCTGATGATGATGATGATGCTATACATACATCCATATGATACACGTTGATATGTGTGTAAGGATTTCCCTTCGTCTTTATTTTTTGGGCTGGGCAAAATTTAATGTAACAATAACTTCTTGATACTTTGGTATAAGAGTAAGTTCACTATTTTTATAATGAACCCAAATCTAAAGTCTTTTATCATTTATTTTAAAAGGGAAAACTTATCCAGATGTTATGTTTGTACACATTTGTGTATGTGTGTGTGTGTGTGTGTAAGCCAGTTAGTATATATGTATATTATATACATAAAACATTTTATATTTTTACATACAAGTATGCTTTTATTATACAGATAATAAAGATGGGGGAAGGTTTCTGTTTTTTTCTTAATAGGTGAAGAAATCTTGAAGACCAGAAATTGGATCTTATTGAATTTTGGTGTTTTTTTTTCCGTTTTTTCCTCTTTTTCTTCTTTTTTAAATGATATTGTTCGACTATGGAAGATGGATCTTTTTTTTTTTTTTTTTTTTTTGTAGCCGTCTGAATCTCAGGTTCATTTTTAAATGAACTCCTTTTTTTGTTGTTTTTTTTTTTTTTGAGGAGATAACTAACCCTAGTTGTCTCCAGTCTGAAAAAGGTTATTCGAATGGACTTAATCTCCTAGTAGTTGGGAGATGTTTTAAAAACACGTCCTGTGTTTGAATTGTGGCTGAGAGGTTTCCTTGGCAATGTGAGGAGGAAAATTTTTTCTGCCTCTTTATTATTAATTCACGGATTGAGTGTTGGTTCGACCTACAGGCGTAATAGATTGGAACTCAGTGAAGACACAGACGTTCCTGTTGAGAGCAACCAGCTAATGTAAGTGGGGAAATGGGCCTTTCCTCGTGAAAGGAGTGAACATTTTTGTAATTTATGCCATAATTTTCCTGGATCAGTAAGAAATTAAAAGACCATTGTTCAGATGCTTTTGCTTGTACATAATTATTTACAAACTTTTAGCTTTTGGGTGGAAACTTTTTGTCCTTTGATAATATATGCACGTTGTTTTAAAAAAAAAAAAAAGGTAGAAACAATATAGCCAAGGTGAAATTTCCCCTGTAATTCCATCTGCTTAGAGAAAAGCACTGGGTTTGTTTTGTTTTGTTTTGTTTTGAGTTGGAGTCTCACTCTGTCACAAGGCTGGAGTGCAGTGGCACGCTCACAGCCACCCCAGCCTCGACTTGCTGGGCTCAGGCAGTCCTTCCCCCTCAGCCTTCCAAGTAGCCGGAACTACAGGCACACACCACCACAACTGGCTAATTTTTTGATTTATTGTAGAGATGAGGTCTCGCCAAGTTGCCCAGGCTGTGTAAACCCCTGGTCTCAGACAATCCTCTCACCTTGGCCTCCCAAAGTGCTGGGATTACAGGCATAAGACACCACACCCAAACACCATAGTTCCATGTCCATATGTATAGCTCTGTCTCATCTTTTTAGAGACTACATAGGATCCCATTGCACGGATGTATTGTACTTTAATGTATCCCTCACTGATAGACATTTGGGTTTTTGCCATTGCAAACAAAAATAGCCTCCCATCTGATAACAGCCTTATGCACTCATCTGTGTGAACTTATTCCCTTAGAACCAGTTCTTAGATGAGAATTTATAGCTTTGTCATATGTTACTCTCTAAAGAGGTTATACCAATTTACTGAACAACTATAAGGTATTTTTTATTTGTAAAAGCTCTTGATGTCTCTCTTTTAGTAAAGATACTAATCTTTGGCCATGTTACTGATCGATCTTTTGCTACATAAATTTTTTCATTTTATGTAGTCACCTATTAATTTTATTGTTGTGGTTTTTAACTTTGGTGTCATGCTAGGAAAGGCTTTTTCACCTTTTCACCCTGAGCTTATAAAAACTCCATGCATTAATTTTTTTCACAGCACTTGAGTGATTATACATTTTGTATTGAAAATGCTGTCTAGAGATAATAGTTACAGGACATCACTCTTCCTCACACAAACATGGTAGACATTGTAAAATGTAGCTTGTCTTTTTTGCTGTGTGTAGTTATGAATTCAGAATCTTTCCTAGTATAGTGCTCTAATTAGTGAGCTAAAACCTCTTTGCCATCTTGGTCTTTATTTTCCTGGAACCTTTATGTATGAAGTAGATTTTTTTTTTTTCTAAATGTCTGGCCATTTTTTATTGTTGTTAATTTTGAATGCCATTTTTTTTTTTTTTTTAGTTGGAGTCTCACTCCATCACTCAGACT